AATGACAGTTTATATAATGTCTTTGAATTATGGGAAGGAAAAAGGAAAGATGTTTTTTTCCACAATCTGAACCCCCACTCTCGGCGACTCTAGTAAAAACAATTATATTTATTATGCTTTGTAGTATTTTTCAATTTGAATTTCTGATATTTTTTAAATATTTTTTAAATTGAAATTAACTTTTATTTTTATTCAAATATTTCAATAAGCAAATATGACAATATTGGAATATAATTATGTTATCGCACAAATATTTTGCATTTACAGATTTATATTAATCTTGATTTGATGACGTTTTTATGACGATATTAAAATACATAAATACAAAAAAACATCTAATAAAATTTATTTTATTTAAATATGACAATATAAATATTCTTCCTGAAATTAACATTCTTTTTTGCGAAAAAAATAATATTTAAAGTGCATAATCTTTAAAGTAAATTTTATTTTTTTTTAAATATATCTCAAGATTAAATAATATCGCTCAATTATATTAAGAAAATACTTTGCAGTGTTGCAGTGAACTTAAAAATCGCAATAAAAAAAAATAATTTAGTCTGGCGGCACGGGACCTAAACTACTTTGTATTTAAGGTTACTGAAAAAGAAAAATGATATATTGAAAGTAAAATAAGTAATGCTAAAACATTAATATTTTATATCCTTCATGCATTTCTTATCATAGTTTTATTAAATATGCAATAAAATAAGATAACATTCTTATTTCGAAAAATGAAATTGAAGTTTAGAAACATGATTATTATTAAAAAAGCATTACTAAAAAAGCATTATCATAGTACATGAACAACTATCTAAATAAAAATATATACAGTACGAAATCAAAAGATAAACTATGACTTGCCTATCAAGATAAAAGTCTATCAAGCTTAATAAGAAGAAAAAAAAATTTTGCGATGAAATATACATCTACTTTAGATAGTAAAACGAAGTACGACACTAGGGAATGTTAATTTCGCAAAACATGATATAGTGTTGACTTGAAACCTATATATCTACGCAAATTTTCTATTTTTTTCTTTCAAAATTAGTTATCTATAATTATTTATAATAAAACATATTATTATAAAATATTTAAATTTAAATTTTTTTCGATTGTATAAGTATAATGTTTAGTACAGAAAACTCATTAAGTTAGTAACACTGCTTTGACTTTGACTATACTTCGACATCTATGAAGCAGCTTTAAAACTTTCCGCTGCATAAGAAGAGAAAGAGATAGAAGGAAGCAAAATGCATGATAAAGTGACGGATGTAGAAAGGGGCCTTATCGTGAATATTGTAAATATTGATAAAAATATCAATAAATTTAAACAAATTTAATATTTTTAAAAACTA